GGGTGAACAATAAAGAAGAATAGGTAGGATGCAAGAGGTTATGAACTGGAAGAGGATGGGTTGAGTTATACCCGAGTGCCTTAACTTCGTAATGTAAAATGTCAGGCGGAATATTTTACTGGAGATTGCTAAGACATGGGAAGACCAGGAGAGATCAGAAGAGAGAATAAGTCCAAGATACTGGATTTCTGATTTCATTCCTATATCATTGTCGTCAATCTTACAACTGTCATGAGAATTGATGACTTCTTTTAACTGTCTTTTACTTCTGTAGCTGAAATCAGTAGTTTGACATTTAGAAGGAATCAGTTTAAGACCGTTAGACTCAGATCATTTGCTTAGTCCCGACAGAAAGCTATTTATTTTGGTACAATCTAGCTGGGAGTTAACAGCCATTGAAACTGTTAAATCATCAGCGTACTTCACAAAGTTTATTTCATCAGAGTGAGGCAAGTCATGTAAGAAGGAAGAAAAAAGAAAAGGAGAAAGGACAGCGTCCTGAGGGATATCAGCTTAAGTAGGCAATGAAGTGGAAGACTTCCCTTTATATACGGTGTACAGCTTTCTTTCTGAGAAATAGGAGTGTAACCAGTTAACAGCCCAACATTCTGTTTGACTAGCAGCAAGTTTATTTAATAAGGTGTCCTCAGGGACCGAGTCAAAAGCAGATGTATAGTCTAGGAAGGCATAACGAACAAATTTAGCCCCTTGTCTAGACTGGAAGCAGTGTTATGATATAAGTTAGTAGCTGCCTCTAAAGTGCTTCTACTGTGCTTATAGGCAAATTGTTTAGGGTCATTAAAGGATTTAAGCGAAGGTACAAGACTAAGTAAAAGTAATTTCTCCATAGTTTTCAAAACAAGAGAGGTAATAGCAATGGGTCTAAATTTGACACATGCTCCAGTAGATAGTTTAGGTATAGGTACAACTTTAATGTCTTTCCAAATGGCAGGCACAATATTATCGGAAAAAGATTTGTTAAAAAGATCAGTGAGAGAGTGACACAGAATATCAGAACACTTTTTAAAAATAATACTAGCTACATAATCTAGACCTAAGCTCTGGGAAGGGTTCAGAGAATTGATGCACTTTTGAACATCATTTGTGTTAAAACCTGGAAAGGAGCTATTATTACCACTAGTGATGCTGGGAAGTATGGCATTTGAGGGAGAGTAAATAAAAGATTTATCAAGAGTATATACATTAAAAGAATACGGAATATTTATCCTGTGAAGCAGTTCTTCGTGGACAACAGCTTGAATGAATTTCTCTCTTGTTGACATAGAGTATTAGGTAAATGTCATGAATCTGATAGTGCTTTTTTTACATAATCTTGAATTTGTACTAATGCGGAATTACACATAAATAGCTGTAATATTGACTTTTTTCCTCACTTAAGTTATTAATTAGTGTTTGGTAATTAACAAACGATATGGAATATCACTTGTAGATTGGGCTGATTTGCATTTGTTTTGCTGTAGATAATTAATTACATAAACAGGAAAATTACTACTAAGTGCGTGTGATTGTGGGGAATTTATATTTACCGAGGCATTAAAGGATAAAATCCAAGTTATTTAGTTTCTAGAAAAGCCTTCACAGTGTATAATTATGCTATACAGAATAACGTTAATACAGTTGTTCTATGTAAAATGAATTGTAAATTGTGTGATTTGGATAAGGATATAAGTAATAAAATGCGAAATGTTGATGTTTATTTAGGAAATACAAACATCCGTTTACTATTATTGTTCACTTGTGCGTCGGTAGCATAGCGGTTAGGACGCTCGGCAACCATGCACATGGTCCGGCATTTGATATCCGGTCACCGACGCACTCCTTTACCTAGCTAAGCCAGAAATAATGCTGGTGAAGAGGAAAGGTTAGGCATGAGGCTGGCAACCCTATCCTGCAATAATAAACACTGCTACAGAGACTATAAGTCACTAGCTTGAAGTCCTATGTTCTATTGGGGAACGTGAAGGAAAAAAAATATTATTCTCTTGGCTTCCAAGCAGAACACAAGAATTTAGCTGTAAATTTCCATTTCACCCCAGCCCCTGCGGTTGTCGTTTAGTGGGCTGCACACATAATTGCCCAAAAGCTCTCATTTCCTCCTAACATCATATCTTCTTCGTCACTCGTGTACCATTCTAGGTGTAATCGAGGGCATGGCGCGTGGTATCCTTCAAATGTCTCTTCAGTGTATCCCAAGTCCATCTTGTTGAGAAGTAAGCTTTTGATTGGCTCGCTGACAGGCTTTCGTGTCACTTCAGTATAGAACAAAAGCAGTTTTTGAAGGAAATTCTGTAGCAGCCTCTTGAAAATACTTTTCGTGGCTCATGCAATAAGTACCTGAGTCATGCAGAAGCTGTTCTTTTGGAGATTTTGATAAAGTTGCACTTCTTTTACTTAGTAAGGATTCTTTATCGCTTCTAAACATCTTGTAATAGTGGAGTGATCATATTGGCTGTGATCTCAGGATTCTGATCAATTCTTTTATGTATTTATACTTTTCTGTGGCATGGCTTTTGGCATTCAAAACTTTCGCTTTTGTCAGATGATTAGTGTTCACCAGCAGTTCTGTGGCTGTTAATGGTATTACTGGAGGAGTTGCAGAGGGTGATCTCATTCAAGATTTCCTTTAAATTATCATTTCAGCTGTAGTAATAGGAAATGTCGCTTATGCAGCGCTGAAAAATTCAAACTATTAGTTATGAACTTCTAAAACATTATGTGTCCGAATCTCTGGGGGAATTACCTAAAAATAGTGTTGCACGCAAACATGTTTTAACCCTGATCGCACAACTAAATTTTGTAGTCTTACCACGGGTTGTTGTAATTTAGGGAGCTGTTGAAAGCCAGGGAGTACTGAATAGCTGTTTCATCCTAGTTGTGGACTCTTCAGCACCACTGACTAGCCGGGCTCCGAACCCACGACCTTCAGGTTATTAAACAAGCTTGCAGCCCATTCAACCACTGCCAGTTACCTCTTTTGTTTTCAATTGCTCCCTAACTGATATCGATCTGTGATCAGACTAGAAAAAGAGCGAATCCCTACAGAATAAATCTTGAGAATTAATCTGACGCTCGTTGTTGACTGGATACAAGGCGATGTTGCCTAGAGTTTTGATGAAAAATCGTGACCAGTGGGGTCACTCAGGCAAGGCGTGAGGACAAATATTCACTGATAATACTGGCTGGTTGTTGCGCTAACATCACGAATTGGTAGGAGTCCCGGTGGCTGAATGGTCTACGAGTTTGTTTTGTGACCGGAAAGTTTTGAGTACTTACCCTGGTACATGCCTGCTAATAAAGAGTTCAAACCAAGACGAAATGCCTTTGTTCTCTAAAATTAACTCTTCTTTATGGAAGTTTTAGTTCATCACACTCAGACAAGCTACCAGAAAATTTCATAATATGAAATTTCAGTTTAAAATATCTAGTGAATCATAAGAAGCGCAACCATTTTAATGTATATGTTCTTTTTAAATTGTTTGACATTCAGCCATATATTTTTCATTTCACATTTTCGAAGACCCACGAAAACCTGAACATGTTCTACACTAATGTACTAGTATATGTCTGTGAGCGTTGATCTTGAGTAGTAGACACTGCAGAATGTTACACAGTGTCTAAATCCCGTTCACTTGAAATTTTAAGAATCACTGGCTCAAAATCCCTCTCATTGGCTCAGATTTATATTAACACTTTGAGATCCCTCATATCCATTGAACCGTCCTGTTCTATCTCCTGTGCATTTATACCAATTTTAGTCCCTCCTAATTTTCCTTTTTCCTCTCTTTTGTCTACCTCTACGTGGTAGATGGAGTGTGGCAACTTGGACTTCTGCACTTCTTTGTTGAAAAGTAGTCAGTCAGTCAGTTAGTTTAGTTGAAGGAATATGAAATATGCAAGATTTTGAAAAAAATATTTTTAAGTGGTGTAAACATTTCTACCGTTAGTCTTTCTAAAACAATGAAATCTTAGTAATAAATTTAGTAATAAGTTTAAAATGCAACGTTGGCCAACCGTTTTGATGATATTTGATGTTTGGAGGCAATCAACAGGAAGTTTCGTGCTAGGTGGCGCTCGCCAGTCAGCAATGTGTATCTGCAACCTTGAAGGAGCTCATATCTCTTATGAGATTCAAACCCGTGTCACTCAGTGCCGCAGTCAGAGAGACTCTACCACTGTTTTTCGGGATCGCTATTGATCTCCTGTAGGACACTGGTGAAATTCTTTGGTTTTTCAACTTACACCTCGAGTCTCGCTGGGAATATCATTACTCAGTGCGGAATTCAGGTACATTCAGATGACGAATCTTAAATAGGATGTAATTAGCATCCTGTATCCCACTGCTAGTCACCACCCACCAATTAACCTCTACCTAACCTCTTGTGTTATTTAAGGAATTATATACAATCTAGTCTATCTTCACTCAACTGATCTTTAAGCTAAATCCATAAGAAATCACAATGTTGACATGGTTATCACTCATAATACCACTGACCATAAGATAATTGAAGAATTGAACCTCCTACGACCTTATATATTTGAACTATATAAATAATTTCTTCATATATAACCAATTGTGGATAACATCGAAATCCACTTAATAAAATCCACCTGAGAATCGATTACACTGTAACTTGTGTAATAGTGTACTGATTAATGTACTTACTAATAATAAAAAACAGTAAAAGTAATACCTTCACTAACCTTAATTACATCATTGTGAAAAAGAATGATTGGTTAATTAGGCGTTGCATTTATTGGTCTCCTTGAATTGTCCAATCAGAGAATTTCTCTCGTTATATTGCAATGTATCGTGTTTAGTTTTTTCTCTTTTGAATATCCTAATAATGTTATTAAATATATATACAAATTGAGTGTTTAATTCATTCTTTTACGTGTTGAACAGAGTTCATTTCAACCAGGAATTATATGATACATAAATGTTGATAATGGTGATGATTACGATGTAGATGGAGTGAACAATGTTTACTAATAAATTTTGCATTATATGGAGATTTATTTTTACTATAATCATAATCAATGCTTTATCGAATGGAATTATTTCAGACGTTTATGCAACCAACTCACCAGTACTAAATTTATCAGAAACTTTAATTTACAATGAGACGAATATCTCTACTGGATCAAATCGTACCTATAGATATCTCTATTATAATCTTAAAGCCTATTTTCTTAAATGGTATCTACCTGTAGTGATAATTTTAGGCGTTGTTGGTACTGTCTTCTGTTTAATCTTTCTATTCTTATCCAGATTATTTCCACAAAATATGTTGATATGGTTGGTCAGTATATGCTTTGGTGACTTTTTCATCCTCTCATTAGAGGGAATATGGATGCTGCTAAAAGTCTGGTATAATTATGATATACGTGATATTAATAATTTTATTTGCATAGTGCATACCAGTCTGTCGAACTATTTTTTCTATTGGTCAGCTTATATGCAGACTATGCTATCATTACAAAGAGCTTATCTGATTATCAGACCGCTACGAGCTAGAAATAGTGGTCCAAATATGGTTTGGCTTTTCAGACTGTGGTTTATAATATCTATAGGTCTGGTGCTACCAATTTTACCATATCCAATATATTGGCGTGTTATTAATGATGACTGTGATCCTACAAGCAGAGATTTGTTTCATGTGACTACACTGAATGATTTCATTATCTGGGGTTTAATTCCATTGATCGGGATGACATCTTCTACAGTTATTATATGTTGGAATATATTTCGACTGAGAAAGTGTTTTCGGATAGCTACGTCAGCAGTTTACCTACATGAAAACCAACAACAACAACAACAGGAACGAGAACGGAAGTCAAGAGAAAATAGATTTAGTACAATGGTGTGTCCATATAAACAAAGTAATTTAATTGGAAATTGTCTTAGACGCTCGAATTCCCTGTCAATATCTGAATCTGCACTTTATGCGTCAACTAAAAATCATTATGATGTGCTACCAAGAATTTATAAACCCGTATCTATTCATGATATTATACGTCAAACACCAAAATGCAGTACAATTACAAACTGTAGAATACAAAACAGAATAATATATTCAGTACCATCTCAAAAACACTTTACAACTAAAAGTAAAACACTATCTTCTGAACAACTCACAAATTGCATAAAATCAAACAGTTATCTGGTTGTCGTCATGGTGCTGCAGACAATGCTGGACATGTGACACGACTTCTTATTTGCATGAATATCTGGTATATGGCTAGTACATATCCGCTTATTATTTATTTAATGTTATTAAATTTTCTATTACACAGTGTTGATGAAGATGTACACAAATTTGTTTATTATTTATCAAGAAGTTTATGCTTTTTAAATGCTTGTTCAAATTGGATATTTTATTGTGCATCAGGACGTTTATTTCGATCACGTATACGTCAATTAATACGTCGTTTCCTTTATCGAATACAGTTGTATCATTCAAGTCAGAGTTCTGTTCCATTACCACCGGATTATACGAATCAGTTTAAAAATAACTTTGCACTGAATACATCTACCAATGGACAATCACGTTTCACTTCAGTTTTGAAATGTGCTAATACTTTTAGAAAAAATACTGAAAAGTTGAATTGTCAATGTTCCAGTGATAATAATAATAATCCTAGTATTACTAACAATGTGTTATTTGCTAATTTAGGATGTTTAAAAAAGCAGAATACTGACCAGTTTGCTACCAAATTGTCAGATGTTTCAACTGATTGCACAAAAATTGAAGGAATAGAAACTTTTTCAAATATCAGGCATAATGAGCTGAGGATGATGATGGAGATAGTGTTAATACTCGAGAAATAAATATTCCAATAATTGTTTTCCCTTGGGCTACCGGTGTTTCTGTAATTTATTTCCATGCACAGTAAAGTCAGGCAATAAAACTAGTGATTGTATCAAAGGTATCACAGATATTTCACATTTGAACAATGAAGATAAATTGCAAAATAAGAATACTGATGGTGATAATGAAATTGATGTGAATCAGCACTTCATACTTGGTTGCAATGGCTGTTTCACAGGATTTTGTTGTTGGCGATTTTGGTGGTATGGTTTAATGGCCGGTTGCATAAAACGTATACCGAACACGGTGATAACTAGACAAGAAAGTGATCAAAATCAATCAGTTCAAATGTTTACAGGATTATCAACTTCATCATCAGTATACGATAATTATAATATGCATCGTCGACATTCAGAATATGCACTGAATAATTTAACGCATAAATATTCGAAGCATTATCGATCAACAGAGAAATTTCGTGAACTAGAACCCAAGAGAAATTTGAGTTAGACTTAGCTATTCAAAGAACATTCAGTACATCGCTGAGTAGAAAACTTCACAAGTCATCAAAATTATATCATTTCGGTAGATCAATTACTACAGCTAATACTACAGGTCATTCAAGTTGGGATTCAGAAATGATGTTTGAAAAAGACAAATCAGTAGAGGAAAAGAATAACAGCACCAGCAACAGCAACAATAACAACAATATTGACCCACTGTCAATTCAACCAATCATTCCAAAATGCTACTGCTACATTTCATCACATGGAAATAGGCGATTTAATTACAATCTGTGTAAATACCATCAAGATTTCAGTTCATCCTGTCGTCACCATCATAATCATAATCATAGGCAACAATATTCTCTACAGCATAATTCACATTTACACTTACATGCACATTGTCATCATATATGCAAGCATAATTCGTTACATAAATATCGTCTACCATCGCCTTGTCATACTGCCAATAGAGATATCATTGTAACCAGTGCATCAACATCGATGACAAAGCCTACATCAACAGCAATCTCCATTACGAATAAAGATAAAAATATTACTACTACTAACGAAGACATTTCAACACAAAACCAAACATTAGTTTAAGTAAAGTAAGGTAAAGTAAGAAAGAGGTCAAGTGATGTAAACACGTAAGAATGCTTTTCACGAATGACAATAATAATAATAATGTTATAACAACATGTAACAGTGGAGTAAATTTGTTAAGCGTCCACAAAACGAAAGGAGATGAATGGTACAGCCTACCAGGTGAAGGACAAGAGAAAGAAGGCGAAGAATCAGAAATACAATTAACTGGTTGTTGATCATGTAAATAAATGTAAATAATATTTTTTATCAAGAATAAAATCAAGATGTTATGCTTTCAAAATACATTGTGATATAATTTGTTTACTGTAAATGTTTTTGTTAATTTTACCATCCACATTTATTTCTCACTTATCGGGATAGATGAGATTGGATTCAGAGAAAGCGAGAAATGCATGATGTCATTTATACATGTATCACCCGATAAACAATAGTGATGTGCACATTCGTCTATTAAGCAGCGACTTAAAACTCTCCATTGAATCATAAAAACAGAAAGGCGTTCAGCAAAGAGTTACGTCTTTCAGCGGTGTTATTCGCAAGCTGTACAATCACATATCCTTAGTAAATCATTTTAGCAGTGTAAAGAATGTTTTCAAAAATGTTTCATTGCAACTGCAAGTTTTAGAATAACAATTATGTAATACAGAAAACGTTAACTGGGTAGAAACTGAAATGAAAGAAAATAAGTAAAGTGGATGACGTAATGTAATTGATGGAAGTGAACAGAATTCAGTTGATACAAAAAACGTTAAGGTCAGTGTCATAAAGCGTAGAAATCAGTAGTGGGGAGGTAAATAGTAGGATTGAAAACTTAAAAATTTAAGATCACAAAAATTCCATTTCTAGTGTTAAAACAAATTAAGCCAGGATTTAACATTCGGACTGCCATCACTTCTACAATTTGTAGAAGTTTGGTTTGAACTTTTTTCTCAAGGCTTTCATGTGCTTTGTAGACAACTCTCAAGTTGGTCCGAGGATATTCTTAGTGTGTAGAGTCGATCAGTTGTTCCAGAATCGGGCTGCGGGGGTATCCTTATTTTTTGTGCAAAACCATCAGGGTAAGTGTTCGATAATACGACTGATTGGCAGAAGGTGAATACGGCCAATATACCGAGCTCCACAGCAGTAGGCGAAGTAACAGATATACACTAAACAGTCCATCACTTCACTCTCATACCATTCATTGGCTTCGTAGAGAAATTCAGTGGAAGTTCAACTGCAGGGAAGATTTTCTTCAGTGACCGGAAGAGGTATTTGCACTGATGAGTTCCCACTGAAGTGTAGATCCAGGTAGAAAAGTTTTTTGAGGGTAAAAGGCTTTGCAGTTTTAGTGGTGTAGACTTCAAGGAATGTGTGAGTTACATTACGTCGTGAATTTAATTTAATTTCAGCTTCTACCCGATTGACTCTTTTGTGTCCTACATAACTGTTTTCTGTAACTTACAAATTGAATGATGCATCTCGGGAAACATTCTTTTAATTGTGAAGAAAATTTACTATTTAATACTGGGCTTCATTATATTCCACGCAGTTAAATAACTTCAAATCGCATTTTTAGCGTTAAATAAATACCGACAAATACATTGGTAAGTAAAAATTAGTTCATTAGGTGTATCTACAAACGTAGGGTAATTTGCGCCCTTTCTGCATAATTGAACTATAAAGGTTTCTGAAACAACCAGAGTATCGTCATGTGGCTTATGTTAAGTGATGATTCATAATATAGTGCCGAAGTTATGCCATTTATAACTCTGAACTAACTAAACTCAGTAGATTTCTTATTTAGGTAGATTAACTATGGGAAAAGACAGTATATGCATTTCGAAACCATAAGTCAATCCCTTAACTCTGTTTAGCATAAGGCATATCAGTTATTATCCTCTATAAACTGCCAATTTTGATAATGTTTATTTTTAATACCTAGTTGCAACAGGAATCTTTTGTTGAGGAGAGCATACAGCCCTGCTGGATAAACGTGCTGAAAGTGACTAAACTTCAATTTATTTTTACGAGTTGATCACGAACTGATATCAGTTAGAGAACCATTGAAAACAGGGAGTACTAGACAGCTGTTTCACCCTACTTTGGGAATCATCGTCAGTACACACCCACTGGAATTCGAACTCGGGACCTTCCGGTTACAAGGCAAGCTCGTATACCATTCAGCCACTGGGACCCGATGATTCCCAAAGTAGGATGAAACAGCTGTCCAGTACTCCCTGGTTTTCAATGGTTCTCTAACTGATATCAATCCGTGATCAACTCGTAAAAACATAACTAACCTTACAAACTGAACTATAGAAAATTCAACTCATTTGTTGATAAATCAAAACCCTAGGATTTCATTCGTAGTGTAGAGTGATATCAGGCAGAGAAGATAAAACAGCTATTGAGCAAGCCATAGCACAATGTGGATTAGTATTGAAACACCAAATAAAGCAAAAGAACTTGTCACGAGAAGAAATGTCAGCCAAAAAAGTTTGATGAATAATATTCGCAAAATCAGAAAAGGATAATCCAACGACATTTACGGACGAATCAGATTATATCGATGAATTCAATGAACATATTGAAACAGATTCATATGAAGGTTTAAAAAACGTGGTAATGAATAAGATCAAAAAACAGACACCGGATGTGGGATTTGGAATGAAGTCATTTTCGGGTGTTTAGAATGGTTTATGTTATTGCCTTGATTTAATAATTATTGTAGAATCATATGGTACTGTTGGAATTCATAAGGTCGGTCACCGAATCGGGCCAGTGATTGACATTGGGAACCACCTGACTTATGAGTTATTTTAGGATTTGGTATTAATACTATGTCTTTTCTTGAGCATGATTTATGTTTAGTGCCAAACAAACTATAAGACCTAAGGCAAAAACCAACAAACTGGTTGAAGAAGCAGGCAATGAAGACAGGGATCCAGGTGGACATAGAGAAGACGGAGGAAGTGGTGATAAGCAACTACACTTGACAGCAACAAAAACCAGAACCAGTCACCATCAACGGGAGAGATTTAAGAGAGGTGACTTCCTTCACTTATCTGGACAGGAAGCACCGTTTTTACTACAGGCAGTCGGAACGGATGAAGGTGTTGAAGCCAGCTATAATCGAAAAGTCAAGACAGGCTTTCATCAACCTGAAACCAGCCAGGCAGAATAAATGATGTGACTCACATTTTCAACAACAATGTCAAGTCGGTCCTTCTGTATGATCGGAAACTTGCGCTGAAGATAAAATGGCCAGACAGAATCAGCGTGGGAAACTCTGACAACAAACTGTAATAGCTGAACTGGTTTGAATAAACTCCATCACTACATTGTTATGTCTGCGCCCGTTAATTTCTATAACGTAATGAACTCGACCGGTACACTAGTAAGTTTGGTTGTCTGTTATACCTTCCGATTCACTGAACCACGTAAATATAAAAAAAGACAAAGTCTGTGGCTGTAAGATATTGTATTGTACTATATAGTTTATAAACAACACACGATATTTATACACTTCCATAATCATAATAAAGTCAGCTAACAATCGTGAAAATGGATTGTCATTATTGGCTGGAAATGTCTATTCCAACTGTTTAGTGATCACACAAAGACCAAGGTGAGACAAAAACGATGAATTGATCACACACTAGATGAAGATATGCGTATTATTCAAGTGTTGGTTTGTGGGGATTTGATTGGTTACAGGACTTCATCATGAGCTGACATCAGTTAGAGAACCATCGGAAAACTTGGGAGTACTGGACAACTATTTCGTCCTAGTTTGGGACTGTTCCTCACTACGCATCCAATACCAGTGTTCGAAGCCAGGCCCTTCTGTTTACAGTGCCAGCTCGTATACCATTAGCCACTGGAACACGACCCAGTGGTGCATGGATTCTAACTTCTGCCAATTCACGACATAACGCGACCGCTAGCCAGTGTTTTCGGCGGGTATTTATCCTCACACCCGACCTGCTGCACCTAACTAATGTCAGCTTATGATGAAATCCTGTAACCAATTCCATATTAGTTTGTTTATTAGATGTATCACACATTGAAACAGTATTATTCACTGGATGACAGCGTTTCGAACACAATTTATTGTTCATAATCATCTCATCAATTATAATCACACGACTTTGAAACTTGAGTTTTATGGTTTTCTTTGTCTTCTCCTCCTTGTCGTCGTAGGGGTAGTAGAATTTTCCAGGTATCTGGGTGGACAGGTGTTGAATCATTCCTATTACATGTATTCTCTCTCATTTGATTCGATAAACAAAGCTTCCGTTATCATCTTTCCCTCCACACTGTGATCTTAGATTTTTTCGAATCAACTGCAAATACATGTAACAGGAATGATTCAACACCTGTCCCAGATATCTGAAAATTCTACTACCCCTACGACAAATAGAAGACAAAGAAAACTATAAAACTCAAGTTTCAAAGCCGTGTGATTACAATTGATATGATTATGAACAAAACATTTTGTTCGAAACGTCATCCAGTAAATACTAATACTGTTTCACTGTATGATACATCTAATAAACAATTTAATGTGGAATTACTTAATACCACAGTGCCTAAGTTTACACATATATTAATACATACACATAGTTAATCCATCACGAGATAAATGACATATTCGTGAGAAAGGATGATATACTTCTTTTTTCTGGTTGCTGTGGAAAGCCAACAAAGAGCCGATCACTCAACAGATATAGGAGAAAATGTATAAGGATGGGGCATAAATTGAAAACAACCGTCGAATGGCATTGCGCGACAGCCTTTCGAGTGGAATTCAAGTGGGAAACCAGAGTGGGTCGTCTTAGGATGATATGGAGGAGATCGTGTGGCGAAGTGGATATGAGAGACTGTAGGCGATCTTGGACCCAGCTGAAGAGGACAGCAAAAGTTGGACAATGTGGAGATGTATTGATGAAGCTGTATGTTCTGCTCGGAACAATAATAATAAACATTTATCATATTAGACATCGGTCCGCTTC